ATTGGCCACTGTTGTCCCCCTGCTTTACCTGTGGCAGGTTCAGGTGCTATGCTTTGTGGTTGTGTGACAGGTTGCCTACATAGTTTTAGTACCAGGTTACATAATGGATTTGTATAGGATAGTCTGGGTAGCAATGATCCTGCCTCAGGTAGGCGGTTGGACTAGATGACCTCCACAGGTCCCTGCTTTTTTATGCTTGTATGCATCACAAACAATGGAAATGAAACACTACTAAGGAAATGTGTCCCTTTGAAAAAATAAACCAACAACTAAGCAACAATCATTTGTGATGAGTAATTTGAGTTGGGATTTGTATTTAGACTCTCAGCTCTGAGGATATAAAAAAGCTATTTGCCAGACACAAAAAATAAGGCTTTCTGGAAAAAATCCAGTGAAAGTTGCACAACACCCACTAGAGCTTGTTTTAACAGAAAAGCTCACAGAGTATGAAAAGACAACATGAGCTGGTGGAGGAGTCTGCTGTCAGTGTTCCCTTTAAGCTGTGTGGTGTGCACAGCTAAACAGGCACACTCATGCTGCACTGCCAGGCGTGCCTGTGTGCCCGCGCACACCGCACAGCTTAGAGGGAACGCTGCCTACTGTATGCTAGAGCATACTTATTAAGGTTTTTTCTAATAAAATTAACAGCCAAAGTAATGGTCTGAATGAGCAGTGTGAATGTATACAATCTTATGCCATACAATCCCATACAATCCTATACCTAATAAATTCACTCAGGAGTTACTGGCCTACAGTCCAGCCAGCTAAGGTTCAGCTGGATCCCAACTTCATCTTTAACTGCAGGAAGAAAGTACTGGGCATTACACACTTGGCTGAATGCCACCAGTGTGTGCATGTACGTGTGTGCACGCATGTGCATGTGTATGTGTGTGTTGTGGCTTGCTCCCTGTCAGCAGCATGGAGAACTTATCATGAAGGGTCTTCACTGTGTTGATAGCTGTGAACTATTTACAGTACATTTCCAAGAGGACACTGCAGCTCTAACACATTCTGTGTGCTAGCTCTCAGTTTTGTTCTATACAATCCACTCCAACAGTGTTATCAGGACAGCGGCAAGAGCGGCCTGCTGGGGTGGTCAGGCACAGATGAGTACAGCCTCCATTATTCACTTCACAATAGCTATGTCCTGCAAGAGAAGGGGAAGTAAAATATAAAAAAGGCATTAAAAGTTAGTATGTTAAATCAGGAAAGTCAAACAAATGTAAGCTACAAAGTTAGGTGCATGGCTGCTTTGCTCTTTTGTTTTAGATACAGAAGATCCTGGGTGTCTGGGTCCGATACTCATCAGATAGCAAGTACTGATATGGGTGTCATGGGAGGTAGCCAATGGAAAGTGTGAGTTGGAGGATTTCATAAATTGTTGTTTCAAAGATACTCATTTTTCCTTCTATATTTTGTAGCTCAAGCTATGTATGAAGAAGGGGAAAGGAGAGAGTTTTTTCCTTGAAAGGAATTACATACACACTTCCAAATTTCACAGGGGGCTTTTAGGATATGAAACTATATAGTACAGTAACTCAGAAGCTTAACCATTCCACAGGATGAGCATGACTTTTCCCATCTTATCAGTAACTGCTTCCTTAACTTTTCCTTTTCTACACAACAGTGGAGTCCACCGAGGACAGTTGGAAGATGAAGATGCTTGTATTCTTATGAGTTGAAAAAATAAAGGCATAAGCACTACCCTTAAAGATGAAACAGGCATGCCATCCAGCCAATAATAGGGTTATTGAATGAACTTTTTATGTACCCCGGACCTGGTTTTAAAAGACTGTTCCATGTATCCAGCTGTCTTTCGATTCATTTTCACAGGCTATTTTCTCATCTCCTACCTCCAAAACATTCATATGGCAGCTTCAGCAAAGGCTTACATGGAATATACTCTGTGCATTTTTAGCTTCTCTCATCATCGCTTAGCAGGTGGAAAATATGTGACCTGCCTACTTCCTGGTGACCAACAGCAGATACTATACAGGCACCACTAGGGAACCACTGGGCAGTAAATGAAAAGAGTTATGGGATGGTTGGTTACCTGGTGGACACTGAGCCAAGGCTGTAGTTATTCCATAGAGACGGGAACGTTTGTGGGGCTGGAAGTTATCATTCTCTTTTGAAACTGTGCGATCCACAGCTACAACAGCATCCCTGCAGCAGTGAAATTGGAGAAAAGGGAGCAATGAACAAAGGCTTTCTCCTGAAGTGACCTCAAAAGAACAGTGTTGGGAGAGGAAGCACTAGATTCCATTTACATTTGAATACTCTGCCTACCAATAATATTGACAAAGATAGCAGAAGATTAGCCAGCTTCACAGAGCTGCAGGGCAACCCAAATGTCATGGTCCACACTGTGGGCAGTACAGAAATCTTCCAGTAGTCTTATTTGTCATTGTTATTACTTCGAAAGATAGTCACAAGCACAAAAATTTCCCCAACTTCTCATCAAAATATGGGTTAATGAAGAAGCTCCACCTGACTTAAAAAATACCAACGTTGTGACCATCTTCAAGAAAAGGGACAACTCCGTGTGTGGGAACTACTGAGGCATTGCCTTCCTCTCTGTTACCGGGAAGATTCTTACTCACATCCTGCTGAATTGCCTCCTCCCCCTTGCTGTAGACATCCTTCCAGGATCTCCAGCATGGCTTTGGACCTCATGTGGTATCACTGACATGATTTCTGCATGACAGATCCAGGAGAAGTGTAGGGAGCAACATCACGAGCTATTTATTCATTCATTAACCTAACCAATGCCTTCGACTTCATCAATCATGAAGCCTTATGGAAGGTGCTGGCTAGGTTTGGTTGTCCACTGAAGTTCATCAGCATCCTTGGACTACTCATGATGGGAAGACTGCCACAGTCCTTTGCAATGGATCAGAGACAGACCCATTTACCATCCATACTGGTGTCAAGCAGGGCTGCATCATCACCCCAACCCTTTTCTCCATCTATCTTGCTGTGATTTTGATTCTCATCCGTGACCTCCTTGCTCCTGGAATTTGGCTTAAGTATTGAATGGATGGTCAGCTTTCCAACCTGTGGCACCTTCACAGCAAAATGAAAGTTACCAAGACTGGCATCACCACCTTCAGTATGTTGATGGCTGTTATTCTCGTGCACACTGAGACCTATCTATAATCTAGCCTTGACCTTTTACTCAGGTGCCTATTAGGCCTGTGCGAATAGGGAAGTATTCAATTCCGATTCGGCCAATTTGAAGGACAGTGATTCGATTTGGAGATTCAGTTCGTCCGAATCGATTTGGCCGAATTGGCTTTGGAAGATTCGGCACTAATTCAGACAGCTTCAGTGATTCGGCAATAGATGATAATGGGGAATCACTGAAATACCTATAACTTTGCCAGTTTTTGGCACATCTGGATGAAAACAGCAGGGTGGTAGCTCCTTCTGAGGGCGTGAAGCCTACGAGGTTTCAAGGAGATAGGTGCAGGGGTTTCTGGGAAAATGCACCTCAAGCTTCTGAAAGCAAAACTTGTGATGTGTGACTTTGTGTGCGTGTTAAGGCACAGCAGGATGAAAACAGCGGGGATGGTAGCCTGTAGCAGGGGGCCTTCCTGATGCCAGCTAGATCTCTGCCTGCCCACCTGTTTCTGGGCCAGCTGCCCGCACCTCTTTTGCTTAGGCAGAAACAGCTCAGAAAAGGGACAGAAAGGCTGCAGACAGAAGCTTATATGCCATTTCTACGTCCCTCCCCAAGAACACTGTGATTGGAAGGGGACTCAGGGAAAGATCACAGTCACTGGCCAGCTACAGATGTCAGTCTTCCCCTCACCGCTCCCCCTCCATCTTCTCAGTTTCTGTTCCCCTGCAAGGCTGCCTTCCAAATTTCTGAATCTTTTTCTGAATCTTTTCTGAATCAGTTTGGAGGGGTTTTTTTGTCTCCTGATTTGATTTCAATTCGGTGATTCAGCCTCTGAATTGGGATGAATTTTCTCTGAATCGAATCAGCGACCAAAGCTTCACACACCCCTAGTGTCTATCATAGTCTGGGACTTTCCCTTAACATTGGGAAAACCAAGGTGTTCCATCAGCCTGCCCAAGCACAAGCTGCTCTCCTCCCTCAAATATTGCCACTGATGAGGAACCCCTGGAAAACATTGAGCATTTCCTGTACGTTGGTAACCACATCTCCCAGTCGGTCAGTCTTGATACACAGATCAAACATCAGATTTGCTGTGCCAGCATATCCTTCAGAAAGCTCTTTTGCCATATCTCTATTGACCGAGATCTACAGATGGAAACTAAGATCCTGGTCTACAATGCAATGGTTATCTCCACACTCTTCTACCAGGTAAGAAAGCCATCTTAAGTGGTTTCATCTGCATTGCCTCCGGAAGATCCTTCAGATTAGATGGGAAGACCACTGTACCAATGCCAGCATCTTCTCTTCAGTTAACACAGCCAGCATTGAGGCAAAGATCATAAAACACCAACTCTGCTGGGCCACTGTGTGCAGATGGTTGACACTTGTCTCCTGAAGCAAGTCTTCTTCTTGCAACTTAGTCATGGTAGGAGGACCCGTGGAAGACAAAGGAAGCACTACAGGGACACCCTGAAAGCATACCTTAAGATGGGTGGCACTAACTTTACAAATTGGGAAATACTGGCTGGTAACAGGTCTCAAAGGCGCTGCACCAAACATCAAGCTACAGCTCACTTTGAAGAGAACCATCTTGCTCAGGAAGCCCAGGAATAGCAGAGGAAGAAGGAAAACCCACAGCATCCTGGCCAACAGCTGTGCCTGCTCCTTGCCCTATAAGGCACCACCTATTATAACTGTGGAAAAACTCTTCAGTCATCTTAAAACTCACCAATAATACCTCCCAACCCCTCCCCAGCAAATATCATCCTCATATTGAGGGACAGTTGAAGAGACTATGCTCTACCTCTTGCCTTCTCAATCCCTCAGGATTATCCATGGCACACTCATAATGACATGGTCCATTGTTATAGAAAATGCTCTATTTGAAGAGGAGTCTGACATTCAAAAAGGAAAGAGGCAGGCACTCAGCCACTCGGGTGAACCTATTACTGGTTAGAAGCAAAAAGCTAACAGAATCGTGACATTTTCTATTTGTTATTTATAAAAGACATTCTAGAGTAATTTTTCAGAGATATTGGATCACAATCTTGGAATCTCTTACTCGCATTAAAAGCTCTTATTGCTGATCAGCCTCGTTGAAACCAATGGGACTATTTGTGGAAGAGTCTTCAGCTAAAAAGCCTGAATCACATTTTTACTTGAATTAAAATCAAAGTTATTTTTAGAATATTTAGTCCAGAATTTGACTTGCATCTTCAGGTACAGTTTTAAATTATGTTAAAGGTTTAAATAACTTGACTTCAGCAAACAAGAATATATTGAAAGCTACATTTTAATTTTGTATTTTTTGGTGAAATGTTGATATACAAAGTCCTGTAACTGATGATTTATATACATCAAAGCAAGTGCTGCTATCCAGAAAACACATTCACTCTTGCCTCTTTTTCCACTGTGCTCAGAGTTAAAAGCAACTACTGAGACCAGAGCTGTTCAACTTTGGAGTGGCCAAGAACTGCAGGGCACCTACATCACATCCCTTTTCTATAGGTGCTTGGGTGACCATCACAGAGGACATTCCGGTTTTCTGTTACTCTGTTCTCTGTACCTGATGTTTTTATGTCCTCTATTTTTCTTCAAGAGAAAAATAGAGGACATAAAGGTGTCCGGTTTCATATCAATAGAGGACAGAGGACAACCAGACTGTCCTCTATGATGGCAACCCTAATAGGTACCCACCCCCCTAATAGGTGCCCACTGCACCAAACCAGTACCCCCACCCCATGTGTACAGTGTTGCATGGGACCTCCCCCCCCATACTGCACAGGCACTCCTGGGTCACCCTGAGTCCTCAAGCCACAGGCTCCACTGGCCCTGTGGGCTGCCACGCTCCTCCCCCAGAGGTGAGTGTGGGCAGTGGAAGCTGATGGAGGAAGAAGCAGCCTGGAATTTTGGGAGGCAGCAACAAGGAAAGCAATAAGGGGGACAGGGCACAGACTGGAAGCCAGGGACCCACAAGTCAGCTCCTTAGGGGCTGCATGTGGCCCATGGGCCACCAGTTGGACAGCCTTGACTTACTTGACAAATTACTAACCAAAAAAAATAGTTAACAAGGGACATTGCTAGGTCAGCTCGAAATATCCACTACACCCTACCTCAGCCGATTGCCAGGAAAGAATAACTGAAACCTCCCAGAAAGAATACATATGCTGCCAGAAGGACAGATGTATTTTACTTCAGTTTCTACCAGACAGTGAAAAAGATAAAAATACAACTCCGTAATTTCTTTAACTGATAACCTACCTCCTCCAGTCTGTGTAATACAAATTCTTCCCATAGCTTGTAATGCTGAAAGGGTACAGGATTCCTTCAAGGACCTTTCGTCGACCAGGCTGACTGGGGTTCATACATTCCAACTTCTTGGTGCCTAAATAAAGTAAAACAATTTAATCTTTGTGTGTGACAAATGGTTCTTTTGTGGGGATATGGTGGGGGAGAGCTGTGCAATGACATTTACAAAACAAGTATGTACTGAGTATAGCTTCTCAGTGCTCTCTTTTGCCCTGCCCAGCCAAAGCTTGTCCACGTCACATCTCTGCCTGTGACAGGGCCCAAAGGCTGCGCCCACAAAAGGACTTGGGTGCTTCAGCACTGAGCGCTGCACGACAGAACTTTTTACCCACTTACTTAGTGGAATGCAAAATTCCAGGTTACATGTTGAGACTCCCTCTGCAGTGCAATGGGAAAAGTATGAGTCTCAGAACTGCACCCACAAATGTTATCAAACCGAGCAGGAAGCCTTCTAAAGCAGCCAACAGAAAATGCTGAGGAGATGGGTGTGACACAGGCCCTGTCCCTCTCAAGGACTTAGAACCCAACTCCAGGCACAGGAAAGTACTTATCGCCATCTGGGATTTACAGGCTTCCTTGTGGCACTATGCTGCATGGTTGCTCCAGGCTGCCCATTTCCACTAGGGCAAGGGTATGCAGCAGAAGCCAGGGGAGGGTAGAAGAACCCCAAGCAGCCATGACACGAGGGACAGACTGCCAGTTGGATAGCCTGACATAATTAATGCCAAATATTGTGGTTTATAGACATGAATCTCAAGCAAACTAACATGATTCCTTTATTTGATGACACTGCAAGTTTGGTATACTTTGATTCTGGTAAGGAGTTTGAATTGGTGTCACACCACAGGGTAGGTAATCACTTATCTGCCATTGCCATCCTTGCGTTTTACCTGTGGCACCTCATGGTGTGTTTCTGATTGGAGCTGGATTATTTTTAGGACACTTTGGGAAAATGGAAATATGTTCCTAAAATAAAATAATATTACATCTGAGCAGTAAAGCACATATTTGATCTCATAAGTATACTCCAAACGGAGAATCCTGGGGGATGATGATTAGGGATGATGACAGCACAGTGTTGTAAGGACTGGCATCAAGCCAGATGCTACTCAATACTGTATGAATATTGAAGAAATTTAAAATAAATTTAAGCATGAATGCACTTTTGAAAATATCTGGCAAATAATGAAGAGGGCACAGCAGTCATACAAGGCAATAATAAAAGGCAAAACAGGATTTAAACACAGCCACATTCAAGGCCATAAGTCTAGGAGCAAGAAATATAGGCCAAATGGGAGACTACATGCTAGAAAGCAGTAACTCTGAAAAATATTTGTGGCCTTAATAGACCAGCAACTTCACATGAGCAGCACATTGCTCTGGCAAAATAAAAGGCTAATGTAATTTTTGGATGTATAAGCAGTGGAATGATGAGTAGAAGGTGACTTTTACCAGCTTACATGGCACTGGTAAAAGCAACACTGGTAAACTGTGTTGTGTTCTGGTGTCCATGTAGTATAAAAGTTGATGAAAGATTGAAGAGGGGTGCTGAAAAGAGCCCCAAAATGAGTAGAGGCCTGGCAAAAATCCCCCTCAGTGAGACTTATAGGGCTCAATCTGTTTACCTAACCAATCTGGTAATGATTTGGCCCAGGGGTTTTGAAGGGGTAAAAGATGATTGGA